CAATAACAACCTTGTCGTCCTAAAAACGCCACCAGCTCTGAGCAATAACGACCCTGTCACCCTGCAAACGCCACCAGCTCTGAGCAATAACAGCTTTCTCACCCTGCAAACGCCACCAGCTCTGAGCAGTAACAGCCTTCTCCTGAACAATAACGACCTTCTCGTCCTGCAAACGCCAGCAGCTCACCTGCCGTTCTTGGCTGAACACAAAGGAGGAGATTAAAGAGCTGCATTAACATTGAAATAGTAAAGTGAGCCATGAGTGGATGAGAGGCAGGGAATGATGCTCTGCTGCCGGTGATGTTTTGGCTGGGCACAAAGTTGAGTTTTTCCACTGATATTTGCTTACATTTCTCCTTGCAGAAACGTAGGAGCCACGAGCAGGGTTTGTTAGTGGTTTGTGTGTGTTAAGTGGGTAGATAGGATTTCATGTTTCTAAACTTGTAACTGAGGAGACAGGCAATCTAAGTTACCAAGCAGAGTTTTGCCTCCATTATAAATAGAACTAATTCTAAAGCCATTTTGATGCCTACTAGGTTGTTTTTAAAATTTTGTGTTAAAGCAGCAAAAAAGAAAAAAAAAAGCATCAGGTGAGAATGAAAATCCAAATACTTGATTTTTTAAAATTATTTTTTAGATTTTTATTTTAAATACAACCTTTTGTTAACACTGGAACATTTCAAATTTTAGGGTTTATTTTTAAGTAAATAGCCATGTTTTGAGAATAGCTTGGAATTATTAATATTATAGAGATTCTAACAATGGCAAATTTTGTTCTTGGGCCATAAAAGTCAGCACAGAAAATGAAGGTCATGTGGACTTGTGAACAGTAGGAATTGTCAAGTCACAAAGAGAAGTGGCCAAGTTACTAAGAAAGGTGGTTGTGGCTCAGCAGAGCCTTGTGATCTGTCAGTGATAAAACAGTAAAAATCTTCATTAAATGGTAGCAGCTACTGTTGTTACCCCGGTTTTATTTTTGAAAGCCATGAAGAAGAAAATCCTAAATTAAAGGGGAAAAAATGCTCCTCTGGTGTTCAGGAAAGTGTGAAAGCAATGGAGTTGGGAAATATCTTTATATATAGTATGATATAGTTAGTATATGTGTATTATACTGTATGTAGTAGTAGTAGTATAGTATAATATATAATTATAGATATATTAGTGTGTAGTATAATATATATATTATACTATATATAATAGGAGTAGTAGTAGAGTATAATATCTAATTATAGACATAACAGTGTATGGTACAATATATATTATACTATATATAATAGTAGTAGTATAGTAAAATATCTAATTTTAGACAAAACAGTGGACAGTACAATAGATAGATATTATACCATATATGGTAGTGGCAGCATTATAATAAAATATCTAATTATAGACACAATAGATGGCTGGATATTTTACCATATATGGTGGTGGCAGCAATATAATAAGTATAATAAAATATCTAATTTTAGACACAACAGTGTAGGGTATAATAGTGTACAGTATAACACATGTGTATTATCCTGTAGTGTGTTGTCTTGTTGATGCCTGGCAGTGCTCCCAGCTCTTCTCCTCAGGGCTTTGTGCTGCCCTGGGTGTGATGTGGTGGATTGCTGTGCTCAGCTCCTGCTGGGTGACAGATCTGTGCTGGGCTCAGCTGGAGCCCCTGTCAGGCAGCACAGCAGGAACCATCCCGGGGAGGATCTGCTGTGTCACCGAACAGGAGGACACTTGACAAGGGGACACATCTCCAAATGCCACGAGGAATGGTGCTGAGGATGCCTGGCATGAGGATTCACTGTGCTCTGGGTGTCATTGTGCAGTGCTGGGGGAGCTCTGCTGCACTGAGCTCCTGTACTGGCTCCTGGAGGGGGGATTGAAGCATTAAAAACATGGGAAGCATGTGGTGGAGGTGGCTGAACAGCCCAAGTGACCTCAGCCACTCCCTTCACCATCCTCACTGCTCCTGTGGGCACTCTCTGACAGCTGAATGTCCTTTTTTATATCGTGGTGCCCAGAACTGCACACAGGGATTGAGGTGAGGCTGTGCCAGTGCAGGGCAGGTGCTTTGGGGCTGGTTTTTGTTTTGCTTTGTTGTGTTTTACAGTGGCTTGATCCTTGGGATGCTCAGACATTCCAGAAGTTAGGTTGAAAATAGTGAAAACCTTAAATATGATGAATTACTGAACTGATGTTTTCTTAATACTCTGAAGAATTTTCCCACAATTCATAACAAAGCACATATATCATCATACCTTATGGGTTTACAGAGACATCCTGAGAACTTTCTGAGAAAAAGAAAACCCAAGTCATACAAATACTCATTTCTTGCTGTGGTGATTTGGTGTGCTCTTTAATGTAGTCTGAACACTAAAAACACTGGTATAGCTTGGCCTGGCATATTCAATTCTCTAAAATCCCTTGACTGGAAAATCAAATGTTCATTGGTTCTACAGCTCTTTGAAAGCAAATTTTTTATGACCAGGTTCACAAATTCTTCTGGTGTCCATAGTTCTTTTTGCAGAAGTAGAGACAAAATTTGTGAGCAATCATGGTTTCATTCTTGACTGAAGGCAGCATTTATGAAACACTCAACCAATGCTGTGCATTGATGTGGAGATCCACCCGAAATCCTGCCCAGGCATGCACCACCACCAGACTCTGTGAGCTTAGTCTGTAGGAAAGCTTGAGGAGAATGTGGCTGTCATTTCATGAAAGTGCAGGTTCATTTGGAGAAGGGGAGATGGTGTGTAACTCCCAGCACTTGGAAGTGTTAATTCACAGCCACTGTTCTGCTGAACTGAGAAACCAGCAATCTTCATCAGGTTACAAGCTTGTACTTTTATTGGGTTTGAAACTCTGTGGTCAATGCAGAGTTCTGTGGCCAGAGTTAAAAGTTATGGATCTGTCTCCATATTTAATCTAGAGTAGACTAGTGAATGAGATTTCCTAGATTCAACTTGGATTTATTTACTGTTATCACTACTTTTGGTGATTGCCCATGCCAGCAGGTCTCTGGTACGTTTTGTCTTTCTGCCATATATTTTCTTTTTGTCCTTAAACCTTGTATTTCTGCTATGTACTTTATTTTGTCCTTAAGCCTTACCATTCAACCAGCCTGTGCATGCAAAACCTCATACATCAGTCACCAAAATGTATGGAACAAATTCCCTTCATCAGATTTATGTAACTTATGTTGGTGTCACCAGAAGGGGTCACAGAATTCTGTCACATGTACTTAACTTCTTGTGAGAATGTAATAAATGCATATTTTACTGTCATAAGAATTGTGTTTTTAAAAGTAGTGATAAATTACACTCCTGGATAAAATGAGATGTAAAAGGGGTAACACTAGATGGCAACATACACACCTTCTTGTCTGAGTTTGATTTCTCTTTTTAAGAGAATTATTTTTATTTTAAGAGAAGACATTAATGGTTACTAATGACAGAGAGGTAATTACTTGTAAATGCAAATTCCCTAAATTGCAGAAAAAAAATTTCTCAGTATCTTCATGGAAAAATTGTCTGTCTTCAAGATATAAAAGAGCTACTCCTTGTATCTCAGTCAAGCAACCATCAGGAAAACTTTAAAAATACTTGAAAGGAAATTCTTTCAAGTAGTTAGTATTTATTTTTATGGTGTATAATATAAACATTTATTAAGAGCAGTTGCTCTCAGTTGGCTCTGAGCTCAGGTTTAGCAGTTTAAAGGGAATTGAGGTATGATGATGGTGGCTGTTTTCTGCAAGCAGAATTGCACAGAAAGTGTCACTGCCCTGCCCTGAGTGCCACTAGAGGAGCTGGGCTGGGCTGTCAGGGTGCAGGAAATGCAGATAAATCATGGAAATCTTGCCGTGTTGGGAGAGTCCCCAGGCTAATCCAGCACTGTGCAGGAATCTGTTCTGTTCTGTGTGCAGATGGGCGAGGGCTGGGGTGCATTTGGGTTTGGGTTCTGTTAGGTGACTTGAGAGTCTTTCAGTGAGCACAGAGTGTGCAGATGCCACCGTGAATGCGAGGCAATCCTCTCAGCGAGAGCTGGGTGTGTTTCAGGAAATACCAGGATAACAGATGTGCTCTTTTCCAGATGTCAGGTTTAAGCTCCTGTCCCGTTCCCCGTGTGAGTGGCGTTATGATTCCTGCACCAGCCCTTGCTTCAAGACGTGCAGGGACCCCTGGGGAAAACACTGTCAGACAGTGCCAAAGTAAGTGTGTGTGTTTTTATGGAAAAGTGTGTCATTCATGCAGGACATTTAAGCAGGATAACAGGAGTACAAGGGCCCAAATGTGCACTTGATGTATCAGGACTGTGCTCTTGGGTATATAGGGGAGTGAAAGAGAAAAGAAATGGAATAAAACCTGCTGCTGCAGCCACAGAAACCTGACATTTCAGCCTTTAGTGTACTGTCAGATTCTGCAGTGACTGCTATTTTTGTAACTTTCATTTTGGGAGTATTATAGAGTATTAATAAAGAAAGGTTATCACAACTTTGTTTCAAACAGTTGTGCCCCTGCTTTTCCATTATGTCATTGCAGCAATTATATCTGGCCTTGCTTTTTCCTGTGAAGGGGAATTTGTGCTAAATCCGGTTAAACTGACACTCAGATTTTGACATGTAAAAACATTGGGTGTTTCTTACAGCAATAGTATTCACTCCTGAACCTGTGAGTGCTCGTTTCAAATCTGAATGTCACAGAGTTCTTGCTTTCCTTTGATGTGAGTGGCAGTGGAGGTCATGGCAGTGACATTTTGGAGGAGTACACAGAGGTGGAGCACAGTCTGCTTGAACATAAATATGTAGATTCTTTTCCTGAAACTGAATGCTTGATCCAGAAGTTATTATTCAACTTGTTAGTACTAATTATTTTTCTTGTAGAGTGGAAGGATGCATCCCTGCCTGTCCTCTCAACATGTTGCTGGATGAAATCACTCAAAGATGCGTGTATTTTGAGGACTGTATGTCTGAAAACTTATATGTATCATATATTAGCTTAATAATTAATTAGTTCTTCAGTCATAATTTCAAATATCAGTGCCTACATGTGTGTAACTTGTGACCTTAGTAATGTGAACCTTGAGCTCACTAAACATACATTTTAGTTAAAATAATTTAATTCCTCAAAAATATGAGACAAATTTTAAATTAAGAAATATGTTCTTTCTTCATAAAATATTTCAGTAACAGATGTCAGGGAAATGATTTAATGAATTTATTTCTTAATTTGTCTATGAGTTTTAGAAGTTTAAAGGCAATTGAAAAGATCAGTTATATGAGTTAACCTAGAACTCAGCTGGCTGCATCACCATATTAAAGAATTTCAGGCTGTTTTCTTGTGTCTGATTTCAGGCATTGAACCTGCAGATGACAGCCCACCTTTTCTTGTCAGCATTCAAACCTCAGCAGCTCCACATCCAACCCCAAGTGCAAGTCTGGCAGTGATCAGTGGAGAGGGAACTTCACTGCCTGCACCTGAAGCAAAGGAAACAGCACTTGGTACAAAACTGCCACTCACTGCAACTCCAGGGAAACCAGAATCTCCAGCTACTACATCCAGTAAAACGCTTCCAGCTGTAACTTTATCACCAGCTATTTCTTCACAGTCAACAGAAATGACATCTGGGAGAAGCACTACAGCAGTGACTGGGACAACAAAATCTGGTGGAAGCTTGTCTGCTCCTGTTGACATCTCTGCTTTGTTTCCATCTGCTTTCAGCTCTGCAGCTTCCACAGGGCTGCAGCTGATCAGCACTGGCTCCACTCAACTGCTGAGGGCTACAGAAACCCAGGCAGCAGCTGCTACACAGGCAGTGACCACGAGAACAGAATCAGAGAGCAAAGCAATTGCTGCTGCTTTTTTTACTGGGGCACCACTTATGCTTAGTACAACAGAAATGCCAGTCAAAACTAAAATAATGGAGTTATCAGAAACGGCCACAAGAACACCTCCCACGAAGGAAGCACGAGTAAAACAAGAAGGATTTACAACATTTACACCCAGTTCATTTGAATCAGTAACAGAAAAAACTACTGCATATGTGCCACAGTTTTCTGCATCACCTCTGGATGTGTCTTCATATTCACCACCAGTAAACTTAACAGGAGCTTCAGAAGGGACAAAAATAAGTGTAGAACAGTCTTTTACCACAGTAGCTAATGTTACAGTGACATCATTTTCTCCTGTACTCACTACTTCATCTTTGTTAAAGCCACTGTCTTCAGCAACAACAGAAGCAGCAGCTGTTTTAACCAAACACAGTGTGAAGACAACATTTTCACCAACATCCATGGCACCCACTTCATTGGGAAAGACAAGTACAGAGCCTCCTCTTGGAATGGTTCAACAGCTGACTGGTACTGCAGAGGTTCTTCTCACAACAACTCTAGGTCCAAAGATGACAACTCTACAAACCCAAGAGACATCACCAGAAACAACTTTGTTATCATTTACAACTCATAAAAAGGAAATCCCAAAAGTGACATCTCATGTGGAGCATACACCAAGTTCCCATTTCCCTCCCTATTCAGCACATCCTGGTTCTAGTACTGAAAAATCCTTCATTCTTTCTACAAAGAGACCTGCAGTGTCTGCTCCTACTGCTCCTTCTCCAGCTTCAGGTGAATTAAAAAAAACATTTAAAACTGTTTCAACTACTGGATATCCCTCACACATGGTTCTAAACACAACTGAGTTCCTGACTACATTATACACTGAATATCCTGTCATGGCTGAGACCATCAGTGTGACACCTTTTTCTGCTAAGGTAACATCCAAAATAACATCCCCTCTTGAAATGGCCACAAAGTCAACTTTGTTTTCTGGAAAAGTATCTGCTGATACTCTGGTTTCAAGTACAGTGAAGACAAGCACTCCAGTATATTCAGGGAGTGTTACCACATCAGCAGTGAAAACCAAAGAAACCATCACAGCTCCTTTTGCAGTGACAGAAGGAGAATCACTGCAAAGAACATCCATCACTGGGTCTGCACTTGCCCTCTCCAGTGGCACTGAAACCACATTGTTGACAACACAGCCTGATAAATCACAACTAGAAGCTATTACTGCCATCTCTGCTGGAAAGCCATCTGCTTTATCTTTTTCACCATCAGGTGCTCCAATATCTTTAAACATTTCTCTTCCTTCACTACCCTCAGATGGAAAAGAAGCCCTGCTGACAACTCTCAGTCCCGTGCATACATCCCATGAAATAACTTCTTTATATCCTAGAACAACTGTACAAAAATCTGTGTTAACAACAGAAAAGACCTCTGCAGTCCCAGCTTTCTCTATTTTATCTGTATTAGAACAATCAAGTTCAATAACAACAGTACCAGATGAAAAATCACTGGTGAATATCACTGATGCCACAGTCTCCCCAACCTCTGAATTCAGCAGTCAGCTCCTAACCACCAAACAAATGACAGGCAAAGAAAAATCCTCTCTGTCCCCATCAGTTGCAATTCCAGTAACAAAGTCTTCATATACTTTCTCCACCTCTCAGTATCTAGGAGATAAATTATTTTCTTCACCTTCTTTAACACAGCTGCTACCAGAAGTAACAACTGCACCAAAACACTCAGTAGAAACTGAAATGGTTTCTACAGCATTAGAGCCTGCAGTCCAGAGCAGAACAGAAGCAGTGAAACTTGCAGAAGCTGCAGCTCAGCCATCCCTGCCTCCATCTCCAGCAGGTCCCTTCTCCTTGCAGGCATCTTCAGGAGCTGAACTTCCAGTACAGACCACAAGGACCAGTGTTAGACCACCACCTTCTACTGAGAAAACCACAGAATTTGATAGTCACACCTCTGGACCTTCACTGCCAAGCCAAGTTCACCAGCCTCCTGCAGAATCTCTGACAGAATCCCCTGGTCAGCCACAAGCTGCCTTTGGCACCACTGAAGCTGCAGTGGGACTGACTTCCTCAGTGCCTGAAGGCACTCACTCAGCTGTGGTGCCTACCTCAGCACGTCCTACCAAAGTTGTTTTACCCACTCAGAAATATCTGCATTTAACTGGTTCAGTCACACAGCCACTTGTATCTAGAACTTCTGTTGTGCAGCCTACAGTCCCAGCCAGAGCAACAGCTGACCTGATTCATGGCACCAAATTTCCCCCTCTCTCACCAGAGGTGCTTGCTGCTTCCTCTTCTTCAACAACGATTAAAAAAGAACCTTTTCCTTCATTTTCCACACAAAAGGCAGCTACAGATCTAAAATTCACACATCAGGCCTCGTTTACTAAATCCTTTGATACAAAACAAACACTTGGAGCTTCACGGGATTCCCAGTCAACCTCTTCAATGGTTTTGCCACCAGGACCAACAGAAATTCCTGTTGCCTTGGGAGCCACGTCAAGGGAAAGTGGGACAGGGGAACCTCAGCAGGTGACAGCTCCTGCCAGCACCTCCAGGACCCTGGTCCCAGCGAGGACAGCCTTGCCCACTGCAGCCCCAGCCTCTGCAGAGACCAGCAGTGCTGGGCAGAGCCTCAGCAGGGCAGCAGCAGGCACAGAGCCCGTGTCCAGCTCCCCTTCTGTCACTCCAGAAGCAAAAGGAGCCGTGGCCCTGCACACAGTGAAGGCTGAGGAGTCCCAGTTTACAGCAGGGCTCCAGTCTGTCCTTGCTCAGGGTGTTGGTGTCACCCCTCAGGCGTTTCACCCTCCCCATTTCACAAACACATCTTCCCCTGTGTCCCCTGTGCATTCACCTGCTGAGTCAAAACCATTCTCCTCTGCAGCTCCCTCAGCACTCAGCACCACTCAGACTTCAACACCTGAAATAACACCTGGCAGGCAAACACCTTCAGTGGGTTCACTGCTAATGGTGTCTGACCATCCAAATGACACAGCAGCTCCATCAGTTTCCTCTTTTACTTCTTTATCTACCAAACCTCTTCGTGGCCTGACTGCAACATTTCCTGATGGACTGGCAATAGCTGAATCCATGGCAGGAGCTGCAGGATCCCCTTTTATGTTGCCTCAACAAACAGCAACTCTTCAAACTTGTACAGTGAGTTGATATAAATAATTACCTGCCTGCTTTGGAAAATGCCTTAATTACTTTTACACACTGATTAAAAAGTTAAATTGTGAGCCATGCCTTGATCTTTAGGATTTAGAGCATCTGTATCAAACAAGGGAGCCTGATTGTTATCCATTATATCTGAAACTTTGGATAACTTCATTATGCAGGACCTTTTTTTTTGAAATGTTATACTACACTGGGTTTTAGACCTCAGTTTTCTGAGTGTGACTCTTACAAGAATGGGATTTTTTGGCAAAATGTGGTCCCTATGGTTCATGTTGTCCAGTGTCAGTGTTTTGTCCTTAAAGGACATCTTTCCAGATGCCTGTTACCATTCCTGCTTGTTTTCTTCCATATTTTCCCTTCTCAACTTTTTTCACTGAGAAGTTAAAAATTCAGTAGTGCTGTTCTCATCTTTACTGCAGGACAACAGTGTTAATCTGTCCTCAGAATGGTCGGGTTTTCAAAGGTTCTCTTTGCTTCCAGCTTCCATCAGCATCATGGGGATCAATAAGTATTCTGTGCCTGAAGAATGTGAACCCCTTTTTCAACAAAAAATATACAATATTGTGGTAGTAACTGGTATGAGTGGTAACCTCTGTTTTTTACTGCATGTGCCCCAGCCAATCACAGAGAGTGAGTGCATAAAGCACATTTGTTTGGATGGACAGCTGATCCAGGTGAACAAGTCACAGAACTGCCCCTACAGTGCTGCTCAGCCCAGCTGTGGAGTTTTAGGACTTGCTGCTCAAACAAATGGTGACAAATGCTGCCCAAAGTGGGAATGTGCATGTGAGTTTTAATTCTGCAGTGCTTTTGAAGTGCATTCAGGTAACAATTTAATGCATCTGTGAGAAGGGTCAGAACTGACACACCTATAGCACAGCATAGAGTTAGAAGATGCACGTTTTTTGGGGGGTTACTCATTGTCTGAGAACACTTACAATAGTAGTTTTAGATCCAGGGACATAAAATAAAAATGCTCCTTTAACATACTCAGTGGGTATATTTAGGTCTGACTTAGACACATCTTGTCATCTCTCTAATCAGGGGACATCTAATCAATACAGATTTTTTTTGGTTCATTTTTTAACTTCAGGATGAAAAGGTTCCCTAGACTGTTAACTACTTCTGTTAGCAGTTTGGGGACTCTGTACTGTAGTCACTCCTATCAATTACCTAGAATTGGGCAGAAAGAATCCAAACCTTAAGGAAAATTCAATTTTATCACAGCAAATAAAGTATGCAGAGGTAAGCAATTTTAACTTTTAGGCTTTAGAGCTTGAAATATCTCAGAGTAGAACTCCAAGCCCACTGAAGAACAAAAGCCTTAGCAATAAGGTAGAGGAAAACTGAAACTTAGGAATAAGGCTACAGAGGAACTGTGGACCTGGCATGATCTGCTGTCACAAATGATTTTTCATAATTTGGGGTTTCTAGAAGTTGCAAATCTTTGTTGGCAAGAACTGTAAGGAAACAGCTGATTGCAGAGGTCTACAGCTTGTCCCTCTGAAAATATGCAGGATTTGATTCTGCTGTCCATTTACAAAGATGCACCAGTATCAAATATATGAAAATATGTGCTGTATATATGAACCTCTTAGCTCATCTTATACAATTTATTGCTTTATCTTCATATTCTGTAAGATTTAACAGAATTCTAAAGTAAGTTAGAAAATAAATTTACCTTTTTTTTCCCCCCTTAGGTCGTTGCACCATTTTCTCTGATCTGAGCATTGTAACCTATGATGGAAATCATTTGGCTTTATTCAAAGAAGCATCCTACATTGTTAGTCAAACTCCAGATGAAACTATAACCATCCATGTCCTTGACTGTAGAATGGTAACTAACATTTATCAGCTAACAAAAGGTGTCTGTTACTGCTAGTAAGATGTATCTGAAAGGCAAGAGCATAATAATACTTGATATTCAACATTTTCTGTTTTATTTACCCTTATGTATGCATTTATTCCTCATCCATTACTTCTGTGCTGTACATGTCATACAGATTCATCATCCCCAGTCTCATTCTTGCTGACCTTCAGATATGTAGTTTGGTTTTTGTTTTGTTTTGTTGTTTTTTTTCAAGCAGCTAGTCCACCATATCTTTTTCCCCTGAAAACCTGTACTTCTGTTTTAATTCCAAGATTGTATGATATAGCACAGTTGCTGAAAACAGTGAGGTCACAGTATTTTGTTTGTTTATCCAGATAAACTCTGTAGTCTTGGCTTGAAACTGCAATCAACAATGGTTTTCCTCTCTGAACAGTATAGTCCCCAAAAATCCTTAATGTCACAGTACTTAAAACCAGGAAGCAACTAAAGTATTCAGATTTTGCACACTGTAGCTATGGATGATGTATTTCTGCTTTCTCCACAGAGTAATTCAAGTTCAACTTCTTTGTGCCTGGCAATGTTGAACCTAAGTTATGCATCAAACCAAATTATTATCAATCGTTTAAGCAGAAAAGTGAGTATTTCCAGGGGTTTTCTTTTCCTTTGGGTAACTCCTCATTTCTGCAGTCAGCTGCCTCCTCACGTGGATACCAAGGAGCAGAGTGGAGCACCATGGGTTATGTGATTCATTATTCCAATTTTGTAATTAAGTAAATTCAAAGAGACAAACTATGATCCAAGGACAGTTTCACCAGGTAAGTCTCAGAGCAAGGCACATCAATTTTTAATTTTTTTTTAAAATTTTTAGTACCTTTGGTGCCTGTATTACCTTTATGGAGGAAAGCCTGACTTTTTCTGAAATTACTTATAATTTAGATTCCTAAGCTGTCAAAAATCTGGCCTTAGTTCTGCCTGACAATTAACCTCTCTTCTTTGTGTCTTTTAGATAACAGTAAACTCAAGATCTGCTTGGCCTACTGTTAGAAAATATGGATATAAAGTTGAAGATTCAGGCTTCAAGTATGCAATTGAGACCCCAACAAAAATCAGAATTGAGTGGTTTCACAGCACAGGTGTGATGATTATTGACTTGAATAGCACCAGAGAGCCAGGAGCTTTGGGACTATGTGGTAAGTACAGAATAGTGCAAGAAATAAAAGCTTTTGGATGCTTTGCTATGGAGACACATTTGCCTAATTATATGAACTACTTACTGCAGGATCTGCCCCAAAAACTTACTGCACATCACTGCAGATTTTAAGATGCTATTAAAATATATCTGTTACTGATTTCGTTTATTGTTGAAATTATATTTTGTATTTATTCCTCTTATCACTCTTTGCCCACAGTGTTGCTTCTGTCTGTAAGCTGTTTGAACCACAGGCATGATTGTAGTTACCAACCCCAAATAAATAAGGCATGGCTAAATCCATCATTTCATACAGTCAGTGGCAGATTTAGTGTTTGAAATCCATGTGATAGGAAGTGGTACCTGCTATTTTCACTTTCTAAAGGTCAGAATTCCCAGGAAATGTAAACTTCAGAGACCATTCTTAGTTTACCTGTTGGAGGAAATACTTTAGAGGAAATTTTTAAAAACGTTGCACTGTATTAGGTCTGTTCAATCGTTTCCCCTGCTTTCTTTTTTTCTAAACAGTAGAGCCTTGACCAAGCTGATGGTGTTACAGCTTTTGCAAGAATGCATTTGCTGATGTAAATCCCCACTGTGGTAGCTGCATCTATAAATTTATCTGTAAATTTATGCTGTAAATTGGAGCTGGAAATCAGGATTAAGGAGATCATATAATTACAGTGGATATCTTTCCAGTTTCAGAAAGGGCAAATGCCTATAGCTCAATATCAAATGCCAGGAATAGCTGAGTCCAGTTTCCAGTCCTGCTGACAGAAATGTGCTCCTCACAAAGAGAGTTTGAATTTACACCCTTCTGAAATCTGATTGTTATCTCTTACTTTCCCTAACTTCTGTTTTCAGTGTAGCTCTCACTCTGTTTGGCCAATTGTTATTGTAATTAGATCACACAGAAACGAGACAATAAAGACAGTGGATATTTATAATAGGCCTGATTCAAGTTATCCAGAGAATTGTTGTTGCCTTTACCTGTTTGATTCCCGTGTAGTGAGGGCTGGGAACGTTACATTCCTGGTTTACAAGGCATTTTGCCTGGATGAAAACACATTTCTGTGGGTGGATGCTGTTCCAAGTACAGCTCCAGGGAATGTGCTGTGTGTTTCTGGGGCTCTCCTCTGCCTGGTGCCACTTACAGAGCCTGCCTCAAATGAGCTTTTTGTGCTGCATCTTTTCAGGGTGAATTAGTGCAGCCTGAATCCTTCCAGTGCTCCCTGTGTTGGTGCAGATACAGGCAGCATCCTTGCTCAGATATCCTTTAGCTGAACTGCACCATTGGTGGGTCTCGACTTCTTCATGGAAATGCTGAAAGTGAAAAGATCAGTGCAGATTTGTAGCACAAACATCCTTTGGAAGGATTCCAAAGCTGGTGAAGAGCTGGGATGGGATGGGTGTGGGAAGGGAGCATGGACATCTCTGCAGCAAAACTGCTGGAAAAGATTTCAGGCATGTCAGTTCTAGGGGCAGCTGGATGCAGCCAAGGGAAATGTGAAGCTTTAGTTTTGCTGCTCTAAATCTCCTCATCAGTGTGAAAGAGAAGTGAGAAAAGATGTCCCTGACATGAGAGCAATCCTTTGGGCCTTTCAGAACCATCACATTGTGTTATCTGTGTTAAAGGGACTCCAAAAGTTCCATCACAAACAGTTTGGGAAGCTGCTCTGCTCTCTGAGTGCCTGGTGCTGTGCCACTGATGTTCAGCAGGAATTGCTAAAAACGGTGAAGCAGAACAGTTCTTTAGAACGGGGTGGAACCCACAAACACTTTTTTTGAACAGATAAAGAATTAGGATTGTGCTTGTGGATATAACAGAAGAAAACATTCTAGAAGCCTGATACAAAAGTCTCAGAAACTCTTCAGGAAGAAAGAATGGAGATCTGATCCATCATTCTGCTTTTTTCTGCCTGCTGGTTTTTAAAGCATAATCTAGGGACACTACTGCAATACTTGAATATTCTTCACTGACCACAGTCACTGTCCATGTTATGTTGCTCCTTCTGCTCCAAAGTGTTTCCAAATTGCTGACTATTGTAGTTAAAACAGAAAGAAAAATGTGATGCTGCCCTCTGGTATCAGATAAGCATCCCTGCATTTTATGATTGTTCCCTTTTCTGATAACATTTACAGTTTGAATTTGTTGCTACACATGGAGGTACTTTGCAGCCATTTTTAAAATGCATTTTCCTTTAGTGTTTGTGCAGCTGAGGACCAAAGCTCCAGTTTCTTAGTTGAGCTCTGAGCAGCTCCTTGATGTTCAGTAGATTTCCATTCAGAGATGCATCTTTATTTTTGCTTTCCTTCATTTTTCTGGATTTTGTTTATTTTGAGCCTAACAAAGCCTTTTTACATCTGTTGTAGGTTGTGATACTGTCATGTTGTATAAGATGTTGAAAAACTTTCTTGAATATGCCACTTCAAACACATTTCACATGTTTTAACCTGCTTTTCTTTTTTCTTTTTTTTTTTCCCTTCTGGTAATTCATAGGGTTTTGTGATAGAAGCTTGGAAAATGACTTGATGCTCCCCAACAGGACAGTTCTAAGCCAAAGCAGCTCACCCTCAGCTTTTATAGACAGCTGGCAAGTGCCAGACACGTTGAAGTATGTTGGAGAAGACAGGCATCAGGAAACGAATTGCTCAGTCATGGACTGCTCAGAGTGCTTAAGAATGGTGTTGAACCAGACCTTCAGCAGCTGTCACCCTTATGTATGTTAACTATTCCAAAGCTTACATTTTGAGAGAGCTGCAGCTCAGATATAATTTTGTATACTTGGTAATTTCACTAATGTGAGGCTCCGTGTAACCATATCTGAATGAAATGTGTATTTTTGTGTGTGCTTACAGTTGCAAGGTAAAAGTAATTGAAGAGTATGGTAGAATTGCAGAAAGCAACTTGCAGTTTCACCTCTGTTAGTTTTGAAATAACACATCATTCATAAACCAGTCACAGACAATTCAACTGTATCAATAAGATATAGAAAAACTTAAAAGAAAATAGTTTTAGGATTAAATTAATCCTTAAGCCTTCGGTAATTTAACAAGTCCCAAATTGCAATAGGTAATCTGAGAACCTGCATTCTCAAAGGCTCCAGAGGCAGAGTTCCAGCCTGGAGATGTGAGAGGGCAGAGCAGACCCTTGAAAGCAAATAACAAACTCCTGGTGTGCAAATAAATTACTTGTGGTCATATGAGTACATTTACTATTTGACCTTTTGTATATCACTGATTTTGATGAAGAGGAGACCAAAAATAGATAAAACCAGAGAGGTCAGAAGGAACAAAGTAATTGTGCCCTCTACTAGAAAAACTCAATTACCTCTTACCTTGGCATTTATAGGAGATGAAACTAAGGAGTATAATCATGTCAGTGTTCAGGAAGTGTTACTTTTAAATACTACTAGGTTATCTTTCTACACTAATGAAGGTTTACCATGAACCAAGAGCTCTTGGCTTCTTTGTAGTGGATATTTTTGAAGGGCAGCTTTTCCTACCTAGCATAGCCTCTGTGAAGGTGGCACCTCTCTTTTTTTTGCCTTTGTTAGATTCCACCTGAACAATTCTGTGATATATGGGCTCGGGACACCGAGTACATTCGAAATCCTTGTGTTTCCCTGGCTGCCTATGTGGCAATGTGCAACAAGTTCAATATTTGCATAGAGTGGAGGAGCTCTGATTACTGCCGTAAGTATTCTGCATGTGTGCCCTCCTTTAGTGTTCACAGAGACCAAACTTGCCTCATTTAAGAGTTATTATAAAGTTGAAAATACCAGTGCTTCTTGAGTCTTCATGTGCTTTGATGCTGCTGCAGAAACCGTGCCTTTGGAGAAGGGATTAGAGAAATGAAACACCTTTGAGGTTAGATGGAATGTAAGGGGTAAAACCTGAGATCTCAGGGTATCCTGGCAGCAGAATTCTCCCATAGCAGCACTAAAATGTGAGGCCAAATGGGATCTGTAGCTGGATCACAGCTTCTCCTTATGCTGTCCTTGATCACCTAGGAAAAGCCCCCTTCAGTGATAACATCAGGAGCTCTGTGGTTTTGAGCCAATTGTTTTTTTAAATTCTTCTGTTTGTATGGATTTTATGAGCAAGTAACTGTTCAAAGGAGCTCTTACAAAATATGTAAATATGTATTCTATGCATTGTGAAGGGACACATCACACTTATTTTTATGCCCCAGTAATGCATAGTAATGTCTTTGGCCACTGTAAGTTATTCAGAACACTCTATGATTGATCTGTGTAGTATTTGAAAATGTTTTTGTTGCATGGTTTGATACCTCTGCTGCCAAAATGCAAACTGGAGCTTGATGAGAATGGTATTACACGAAGAAGAGAAGTGCTTGCAAACTCCTTACATTTGGATTTGTTCTGTAGGTAACTGCTTTGTGTTGGGGTTTCAGGCTGGTAAATCCAACTCAATTGGCGAGCACAGGAAGCTGCCAAGAAGACAATAATGTGTTTTCTCATGGGATTACAGCTTGAACCTGTGCCTGATTTATTTCTTCTCTTCCCAGCCTTCCCCTGCTCTGAAAGCTTCTCCTACCAGCCCTGCATAGCTGCCTGTGAGGTTGCAGAGAGCTGCCAGGATAAGGAGGCTGCTCCTCTGGGCTCAGGCTCCTGCTCGGTGCTGACTGAAGGCTGTGTCTGTGCTGGAGGGACCATCCTGCACCACACTCATGCTGCTGTCTGCATTCCTCCAGAAAAATGTGGTACATACGTTTGGATGTGATTTTTCTTCTTTATTATCTGCAAGTTGGTGGTCAGATAGTTCATTATTCATAGGTTGAGTTCTGGTTTGGCGTTGTGTGAGTTGTGAGTGTGTCATTGGTGTGGGGATTCCAGATGTTCAGTAAACATGAACTGTGCAGGTGAGCAAGCAGGGGATGTCTTTGTGATGCAGTTCTGCTCACTTTCTCTCCTCTGCAGGATGCTCTTCACATTCTTTGCTTATGTTAATGTATTCAATTACTGTGTTTTAGTTTTGGCCTCCTTTTCACCCAAGCCCTTTGCCAGGGTCCAACCTTTTGACACCCAATGGCATTCAAAGACATGCAGCAGCAGTTAATGGCACACTTTGAATAATACATGTGTGTGTCCTGCCAGCATTCATGTTTATTTTCATTGCAATTCTGCCTCACCACACCAAATAATGGACCAATTCTTCTCCCCTTAAAGATTCAGTTTATGATAAATCAGACTACTAAAGCACTGTGACTTAATAATAGTTTTGACTTCTATCAAATACAAAAGTAACTTCTTTTCAGATCATTACTTTAAAAATGAAGGATTGGGTTGGGATTTTAAGTGACTGGCCTTGCAGTGGAGACACCAGACAAGTTGGAGATCTGGGTCTTCTGGAAGGTGCTGAGTGTCTTGCTTTGCTATACAAACTCAGTTCCAGACTGTCTCTTCATTCCCTTTTTTATGGGGTGATGGACATCATCAAGCCTTTAAAACTCTGGGATCTTTATGCTTCAGAGATCCACATCCACTGTGAAAAAAATGGTGATTAAAACTGGGATTTAAAAGGAATCGCTTGTGTTTTCTTGCTGTCCTGATGCAGCTTGTACAGACAGCTCAGGAACTCCTCGTGCCGTGGGGGAGATGTGGAGAACTTCCTCGGGGGGATGCTGCCTGCAGGAATGTGCTGGCAGCGGCACCATCGTCCCAGTGGAGCACAACTGTTCAGACATTGACAGCCTGGAGTGCCAGCGCTTTGCTGAAGTGCCCTTGCTTGTTCCTGATGATCAGACATGCTGTCCTCAGAAGATCTGTGGTGAGTATTTGTGGGACACACATGGAGAAAGTAAGAAAATTACAGCCTGAGAAATATTCCAGGCTGGAGCTTCTCAGCTCTGTTCCCAGCCCATGAGCTGCTCCAGCTCAAGGCCAGGGAGAATTTGTCCCAGGGTGATAATTTGGTCACAATAAAAAGGAATTAATAACAAACAGAACCCCTGTTGTGGTGTGTGCCCAGGCCCTGGCCATGGGGTGTCTTCTCTCTGAACCAATCTCCTTTTCTCTGCTCTGGGAGTTGCAGTCCTGCTATAAAACCAAGTGTGTTTGTGAATAAACTTGGCTCTTTCTTCCTGTCGTGGCAGACGACCATGGAGCTGTGCATCTTATTTCTGCCTCACTTAAAGGGTTAAAACACGGCTACAGGTATTCCTCGTGGCTGTGGATACTGCCTGCTGGAATATGCAGATGTCCTTTCTCTGAGGTTTTACATCCCTGCTATGCATGCTACTTCTGAAGGAAATGGGAATTACTTTGGATTTACAGATAGTGTAGAAACTGCTTGGCTCAGTATCCAATAGCTTTTGAGGTAGAGGATAGGAGGACTGAAATAGTGCTGCGTTTGTTTGAATATGAACTGTGTTCCCCTCAAGTTTAGAGATTATTGTTCTATTTTTAATATCCAAATGCAAATAAATGATCTGTATAATTCTGAGGAAAAAGAAATCAAATGATTGTTTATCTAATATATAAAGTGAGCAGTAAAAAATTATAGAAAAGCTTTTTTTTTTCACTTAATTCTTGCTTAGCTTAGAAAGTTTCAAAAAGAAATTGCAAGCAATTTTCATGTTTTGACAACGTGGTATGGTGTTGCAGTGAGTTTTCCAGAGGAGATTTGGTTTTTTAATTCTCACAAGGACTCAGCTCTAGTTCAACGTTGCCTCCATGGAGAGTTGTAAATGATGTGCATTTCTGAATTGTGCCTCGTGGGAGATTTTTACTGCTCCACTTTGTTTTTCTTATGCCTGTAATTTGGAGTTTTGGGGTATCTAACTGCAAATATTCTTGTCACTGCTCTACTCAACTTATGAAGGCATAGTTTAGAAGGTGCTTGTTCTTTTTTTTTTTTGTCCCTTTATGTGGCAGTTTGTAATCAGAGTCTCTGTGAACTCCTAATTCCTGAGTGTAGCAGCTTGGAAAAGTTGGTGACCTACTACAGTGAGGAATCCTGCTGTCCCAGCTACGTTTGTGGTAGGTTTCTTTAAAATAATGCACTCGGTATAAAGACATTCAGAAAAGGAAATGGATCAACTGGCAAGGATAAGGGTAGTGTAGATACCATGGCCATTCACAAAATTCACTTTTGTCTGTAGCTCGGGGCTGGTGGGTGCCTCAGTTGGAGCAGATGTGATGTAATCTTGTTTTAAATGATCAGGCAAGATCTTGGGGTAAAAATTCTTCTAAAGCAGCTTGTGGTACCTCCACCCCACACTGCCTTTGCTTGGGATGCAGCATCACAGAGGAATAAATACATCTGTTGCCTTTTTTTCAGAATGTGATCCAGAAAAATGTGAACCACTGGAGCAGATGCCAAGCTGCCAGGATGATCAAACACTGATTGCTGCCCGGGTGGAGAATACCTGCTGCATTTCCCACATGTGTGGTACCGTGCCTGAGTGTGCTTTTGCATATGAAATTATGTCTGTTATTATCTTGCCAACTAAGGCTCCTTGTATTTCCTTCAGGTCTCCCAACACAGTAAGGCTTGAAAGTGGTTAAAAAAATTGGCATTGATTTCCTAAAATATAGGAAGTGGTGACAGCCATCAGGAGTCACAGAGCAGCTTTGTGCTACTGAGTAATATTCCTTGGCCAAGGCAAGGAGTGGTGGGGCAGTCCATGGATGAAGGAATTCAGGGATTTTGAGATTGTCCATATGCAGAATATGAACTAGATGCACGAATATTTTATCTGAAAGAAGACTGAATTTATATAGGCTTTTATTCCCTGCATCCTGCTGTCTCAGCTATGGCCCATCTTAATTGATGACAAATATCCCACATTAGAGTATTATGCATGTTTATTCAGTTCTTCTGAGGTTCAGCCTTTAATGACTTAATTCACAAATAAAATTGCACCTTTGCCATTAGTATGTGTGTTCCAATCTTAGCATGAAGTTGTTTTTGCTTTGATAATAACCTCATAATGAAGTGCTATTGAGTTTATTTTGTTTTTGGACAGATATCTGGGAAGAAAAGTCCCTTCCACGTGCAAAAATTTGGAAAAGTTAATTACAAATTTGGAAAAGTTAATTGGAAAATTGAATTACAATTCTGTTATTTACAGTAATCAGATTGCTAATACATGATCCAAGCAATGGGCAGCATTTGTCTTTTCTCACTGTCTGCAGAGTCCCCTTTTGACTCTTTTTTGATAAAATGAGTCTCTGCACTGTATGTATTGAAAAGTTCCTGTTGTGGTTGTCATGTGTGTTCAGTGGGAGGATAACACTGGGATCCAGGGGATGCATCCACTGAGGATCAAAGATTCCTGAAAAAAAACAAGAGCATGGCTTAATAGGAGAAAGGACCTAGCAACATTTTTCATAACAGGAGGAGGAGGGAAAATCATGTTTGCTCACAAAAAAAGTATTTATAGCAGGGGACAAAGGAAAAAGGGGCAAGGTGCACTGAAGGCCAGCCTTTTGTATAGGGTCTGAAGGCAGGAATGCAGAACACCTCTGCTCTCTTTCAGATGAGTCTGGGACAGACTTAGAGCAAATTTTCTCGGCAGTAGTAAAATTTCTTCCAATGTTTTAGATTTAAATAATTGTTTTCTGCAGCATGTGGGCCTTGCTCAGATCAAATTCCCAAATGTCAAGAAGGGGAAGTTCTCATTGTGGATGGCAACACAACTGACAGGTGCTGCCCTGCATACCAGTGCAGTAAGTTTGACTTGATTTTACTAATTTAAATAACAGAGAACATGGGGAATTTTGTGGTGTGGATGTTCAGTGTCAAAGTGGTGGATTAAAGATTCAGCTCCACTTGCTGTATAAGCAAGCTAATATCTGTAGTCCTGAACAAATAACCTTTATTTTTAAGACTTCATGTGTATTTTCTGATATCTGTATCATGGAGACAAGCAAGCAGTTTCAGGCCTCAAATTCTTGATATTTAAAATTATTTCAATACTTGCCTGGAGTATTTTGTACTCCATACTGTTATTACACAACAGGTAACAGTCAAATTTTTACTGTTTGCCTTGTAAACCAAGGTGATATCCAAATGTATTTATTGCAAGTATTTTGATTAATATCTCCACTCATCCAAAAATGAGGACGTTGTGTTTATTGTACTTTCTTTCCTTCAATTTCAGTCTGTGAAACACAGCGTTGTCCTGAATTCAAATGCATGCTGGGCATGTCTCTGGTGGAGGTGTGGAGCCCGGAGCAGTGCTGTCCCTTCAGGACCTGTGGTAAAATCCCTGATTTTCACAGAGCTGCCTTAGACAATGAGAGGTGACAGCAGCTTTGGCCCCTTGTGTTGGAGGCAGTAAGTCAGGAGTTTCTCTGGATGCTTCAGAGAAAAATCAGAGTGCAGAGATTGAATTAAAGCCTTTGGGTGGATTGAAATATGTCGAGTTTTTCACACATAAGGCAGAGGTGAAAGTTTAGATTTTAGCTTGAGTGAGTGAGTAGATAAAATGAGTAAGGGAGTAGATGGAGTGAGTAAGTAAAATGAGTTTTAAGTGCTTTTAGTGAGTAAAAGTCTTAGATGCCAGAGAAGTAGTACATGTTCTAGTGAAAGTTAGAAAACATGATCCTAGGTGCTCGTGTGTCCATGGAGGCTCCAAGAACCCAGCTGCAGACATAGTGAAGTTAAAATTAAGAATATTGCTTACATTTTACAGTTAAAACAAAATAGGCCATGAAGATAGTTTATATGTAGCCTGGCTAAGAAACCAGAATTCTCATAGGTTAAGGAGCAGTGGTCTGAGTTTGTGTCTTAGCTAGTTGGGAAGTTTCTATAAAAGAACATGAATCAGGGAGAGCTGGGGCTCTATGCCATTGCATTTTGCCACTGCTTTTTATGCCACTGTTTTTTATGCCATTGATTTTTATGCCATTGCTTTTACCACTTGCTTTTATGCCATGTGCTCTTACCATTACTTTACTTTGTTTTTGCTTTGTTTGTGCTTCTGCAATAAATAACTTTATACCCACTATTACCTGCTTAGCTTTTTAAAAAGCATAACCCAACAGCTGGATGCCTAAGAGCACCCAAAAGTTCAAAACCTCCCACCTTGGGTTAAACCTGGTTTCAGCCACCTACACCCCTGTGAGCTGCCCACGAGCAAACAACACAGAAAAGTCATTTCATGCCACAGAACTTCCTAAGCTGCCTGTCCTGCTTTTCTTGCATCCTGTAGAATTTCTGTCCAAACTGGGTTATTTACCACCCTGAAAGTGTTGTATGAGTTACTGTATTGGGTTGCTGACTCTTATATCTGGAATTTTTATTCTCTCTGTTGTAAGCAAGTGGCATATAAATTGTTAAACTACTGTTTCTGGTGTTGTATTTTGTTTCAGAATGTGCATGTGAAACAATCCCCAAACCTCAGTGCAAACTGGTATGAAATTTATCTTGTCCCTATTCTTTTATTAATTTCTTAATCAATCTATTTATCAGTATCTGAATAATAGTTTTATCAGTCAAATATGAAATGGCACATGATCACTTCTTTTTTAAAAAATTACTTTAGAATAAGATATACAATGTTAAGAAGCCACCTAAGTCTAAATATGTTGCAGAATAAAATGACTCTAAAACCCTGAATATTTCCAGAACTTTTTATTGCCATATTCTGCCCCAATATATTGGTAGAATAGGACTGCTTTCATGCATACAGGATAATTCAGGATAAAATTCTGGGTTTAAAATGTTGACCCAAATGCTTTCAAGCATCACTGCCATTATTGTTTGCTGTGGTGAAGATGTTAACAGACATCATGCACTCAGGCTGCTGACTAAGCAGAGCCTTCAAGAGATACTGCTCCCTAAATTCTGAAGGAAAGTTGTTTAAAAGGAAAAAGATAATATAAATAAGAAAACTTGCTGTTGCTTCATGTATAATTTTTTTTCCTGTTTTTATACCTGTAGGGGCAGAAACTTCAGATAGATGAACTGTTTCAGAACAGTACAGAAAATGTCTGTAACTGTGTGAAGTACAAATGTGGTAAGTCAGAAAATGATTTAATTCAAATAAATAGCCTTTCAGGTGCTAAGGGAAATTAGGAATTAAAAATCAGGTGTTCACTTTGAACGTGCCACTGAAGAGGACAGGATTCATTTACTTAATTCACAAATAGTGCTAATTCTCCTTGGTGTCCTCTGTAATTAGTGTAATTTCTGCATTTCTTAGCCTGAAGTAGTCTTCCAAAATGAAACAGTTAAAGGAGCCTGCACTATCACTTGGGTGCAGCTAGTGGAATATTATTTACTTGATTAAATTTCATGCATGGCTGTATATTAAAAGATTTGGTGACTGCAGTGAAACATCAGATTCCTATTAATGATTTGTTAGCAAACGTGGCCCATAATTCTGATAGAGGCAGAGCAGCTTTTTTCATTCCTGTTTTTAGTGGAGTTTTTAGTGGAGTTTTGATGCCAAGCTGAGAGTGCTGTTTGTGTTTTCTTGCAGTGAGAGACAAAGTTTGCCTGAGTGATGAGAGAGGTGTGCTCCTTCCTGGGCAGAGCATCGTGGAGCACAGGGCAGGTGGCATTTGCCACATTTCCTATTGTACAAATGTCATTGATCCCTCCACTAAATACTACCAGATAAACACATCTTCCACAGACTGTGCTGCCAAGTGCAAAGCTGTAAGAAACTCAGAAATTAAAAATTGTGTGTTGTGCCTGGTGGCCCGAGTTGTTTGTGGAGGGTTTTGTTGAACAGAAGAGTCACAGAGCAAGCTGGGAGGATAATTAGGAGATCCCCCTCTAATGATGTGCTGCCCCAGTCCTGATGCAAGTTTATAAAAGTCTCCCTCCCTCCACTGCTTTCTCTGCTGCATAAATCCTGCACAAACCAAAGCATATTATTATTAATCCTTGGATTAATGGCTGGATTGAATGCTGCCTCCTTGCACCCCTGCAGAGCTTCAGCTGCATTATGGGCAAACTGGTACAAACTCCTGGTAGACATCAGCTGAATAAAAATCAGAAAGAGAATAATTCTGAATAGAAGAAGAAGAATTCCAAATGTGGTGAAAACAGCTTTTTAAAATAAGCAAATGTTACATTGTCTTTTTGCAAGATCTGATACGTTACCATGGGAATATTATACAGAAATTTTTTTCTAATTTTATAATTGCTTGGTGTCTAATGTGTAAAAAGTTAAAATTTCAGTGGTTCTTGAAGCAAGCTGTCACATTTGAAAACGGTGGAAAGACCAGTTAATTCCCTCAAATTTGGAACTCCTCCCCTTTTACTTCAATTAAGATCAAAGTTATTTTATAAAAGCCTCATGAGTGTGCAGTGTGTGCAAACGTAAGCCTTGTGAGTTTGAAAGTTATTTTAAAAATATCCCTAAAATCAGATGTCTGCTTGGTATCTGCCTGTTACAGTAGTAAAACGTTGATGGTCTCATACAAGGAATAATCTGTTTAATTTTGGCAGAACCAAGTCTATCAGCCTCCAAAAGATTTAACCACTTGCTGTGGTAGCTGCAAGAACTTGTCTTGTCTCCACACTTTCAGCAATGGCACAGTCACCAGTTTTAAGGTGAGTTTGCATATTTTATTCCCTCAAAATATTTAGAAGTAAACAAAAAATTATGAAATCCTGTACGTATATTGCTGTACAAAACGTGCAGGAAAGAGCTTTATTTGGCCAAATACTGGAATAGTTTTGGATGCACACAACATGAATTTCTTGGAGAGTCAACCATGTAACTGTCAACAAAAATTCAAGGATTCTGATATATATGAGAGAATTACCATCAGCTCAACTGTTTTAGAACCTGCTTAGCATTATGTATTTTTTATTGGACTTTCAAATGCAGTACTTAAACAAAACTTGAATATCCATCTTAATTACATTTTGCTGTATTACTGTTGATTCAAGAGATCTCATTCAATGAAATTGCTTTAATTAATACTTGAAATACTGTTTTTGCTGAGTAAAGTTTCTGCTTTAAAATTTTTGGCAGCCTGGTGCTGTTTGGGTTTCCAACTGCATCAGATATGAATGCAGCAGCACAGCAATAGGAGCAGTCCTGGTTTCCTCTGCAGTGGGATGCCCACCCTTTAATGAGACTGAATGTGTCAAGGTCAGTGCACAAGTCACAGTTTGCATTCCAGCTGTGATTTATGTTTGCATGAAAAGATTTAACTCTGACAAAAGATGCTTTCACCTCAAGAAGGGAGAAATTATTAATTTTTGTAGTGCATTTTTTCCCAGCCATTTAAAGGTAAAAGGTATAAGCACACTTGAGACCATTGTGCCACCAGGCTGCTGAGTTACCCAGCTGGACACACCTCTTCTGATTCTTAGAATTTATTTTTTTTTTAATTGGGGTTTGTAATATTAAACCAGTCTCTATACAACTGTCTGAACTTGGAAGCTTCTCTGGGCTGGACCTCCCCTTTCTAACATTTTCCATGTGTAGCAATGTGATTCAGCACAATGAACAAAAACATTGAAAAAAAAAAGGCAAGATTGGAAATCAGGAGCATCTTTTCTGCAGTGCCACATGAAGTTTTATGAACTGGTTTTGGAGCAAGAACAAAAGTTGTGTTTGAATTTGCAAAGTGAGGCTATGCTAAGTGCCTGGAAATGGAAGCAAGGAGAATTCTCTTCCTGCTCCCTGTAATTCTGCATTTACATGTGGATAGGAAGGGGCTTCCCTTGGTGGATGGTGCTGCACAGGCAAGGAGAGAACTGAGTGGCTGCAGTTCTTCCTCACAAAGAGCAGTGGGCTGCTTCTTCAGAACCATCTCAGTTTCAGTCCTTCATCCATTCACCAGTGTTGGCACAATGATGCAGAGCTTTAGCTGGAGCATGTTTCTAACTGTGCAGATACATGGCAATGAATGCTTGAAAAAAAAAATCAAGTTCAAATCCTCTTTATTTTATCTCTTGCTCAGGTTGGAGGCTCTGTTGTGCCATTTTTAGAAGGATGCTGCAAAACATGTAAGTGACTCTTGACAATTCCTGCCTCTCTCTGATCTGTCACCTTCTGAATAAAGTGGATGATGTCCCATGTGAGAGCTTGATTCACATCTCAAAGGCTGTGCTTTTCCCAGGTTTACTCATGCAAATAACTCTGAAAATAGTCAAAAGAAAGAGTTAAATCAAAAGAAAACACTTGAACATGGAAACGTTTACTCCACTGGTCAGGTCCCTGAAATTCCTACCTCGAGTATTTTGTAGTTCTTGTGTAAAACTCAAAATTTTAGGTACTGCATTTATTAAAATAAAAGGTACAAGGCATCTTGAAATAATGCTTCACCTACAGTAATATCTTCATATTTTCTAAAAATGAAGATTGAGCTATGTGGTTTGTAAGTTAATTTTGTAAATAATGAATATAGTAATTAATAGTCAGTTAAGAAACCTTCAGGCAGTATCTTTTGAAAAGATTCTACAATTTAGAAATTCCCCCTTTCTTGATTTTCTGTGAGAGCTAATAGATATTTTCTGGAGAATAAAAATACAGAATAAGAAATTCTATACAGAATAGGTTTGAAAGATACTATGTCCTAATAGAAATCAAGAAAATAGAAATATTTTTTATTCCTAACACATTAGTACATAAGTGAAACATTTTGGCTGATTTCATGAAGGCCTTAGGCTGAAGTTGATCCTATTAGAAGCAACTGAAAAGGAGATTTTTATACTGGGCAGTATAATAATATTTTAAAATGCAAAAATCTGGCTTATTTTGCATAAGTGGCTGAAAGAGTGACCTGAAGGTGTGGGAGAGAGCTGGAGAAAAGTGCAGGTGTTTGCTGTGGGGAGGGATGGAGCTGGGAGTGCCCTGACTGCCCGACCTGGTCCCATGTGCACACTCCCTGCTCTGGGGATGTGCTGCAGTCTGGGAGATTTTTTGGGGTCTTTTTGGGGTTTTGGGGGGTTTTTTTTGTTGGTTTTTTTTTTTTTTTTTTTTTTTGTGTTACTGATTTGTATTATTTTTGTAGTAAAAGGTTTATGGAAGCTATGCAAGATTTATATGTTGGGTTTTTTTTTTTCTGTGCTCCCACTGGGAATGGTAATATCCAAGTTCTTTCCCTCTGGAGTTGTGTTTCAAGCCCTTGTCCTACCTAATTCTGTGGCAAATTCCCCATAGGCACTGTGAGCTCAGTATTTGATTATCAGACATTGCCCTTCTGTGCCCTAGCAGCCAAATTAACCAGGTTCTGAACTAATTAGTAAGACAGTTAAATGTGCATTAAGGTACTTTTCAACAGGGCAGAAGATCTTGCTGCTGTGCTTAGACAGATATTATAACCATGCTCCTTAATTGTTAAATTAACCTGGGGCATGCCTGGAAATTCAACCCTTGAAGAGCTCGGTGATTTCTGGGATGCATTTGCAGATGCATTGGTGGAGTTTTGGTTTCACAGCTGTTTGTGCACAGCACAGGGCCAGGCAGCTCATTCTGGCTCCAGAGCTGCCACGAGGGCTCAGTCACCTGTGGCTGTGGGAGATGTTTTATGGGAAGGATTGTCAGTGTCTTGTTTTCTTCTGAACTACTGTGCCATTAGAAACAATTGTGATTTTTGTTTTCAGTTTTTCGGCCTTGAGAATTAAGAGCCAGGAGCTCCATCAAAGCCTAGAGAGGAAATTCCACTTGTTCTCTGCTGTAGCCCCCAAGGGACATACTGAACTCAGGATACCAGATTGGCTTGGTTATATTTATTTTATACCTTTATAGAATTTTATACTGTTTATTTTATAGCAGATTATGTTATGTTATACCAGATTCTTCCTGGTTTATCAGTGAGAAATGCCTGGACGTGGTGCTCAGCTGCTGGAACCCTGAGCCCCCCCTGAGCAGGGAAGCAGGAATGACCTCCAGAGGTCTCTCCCAGCCATTTGAAAATCCCGTTTCCCAAAACCTAGCAGCTCCCAAATGTTTTGATATGTCCGGAAATGCTCTGTAACAGTGTTCCCTGTGCAATATTCTCACCAGGTTCTCCAGTGTCAGTGCTGCTCCCATTCCCTGCTAGCGCAGTCACTGCTGCAGCCTCTGCTGCCTGTGCAGGTACCTCGTCCTGAAACCCTGAAACCCTGAAACCCGACCAGCACCATTGTTGATTCCCAACAATGTACTCCCTGATAGGAGCTCCAGAGCCCTCCTTCCCCCACTGCAGCCAAAGCTGCTCCTGGCTTGTTTTCCACGTTCCCCTCTTTGTTTTTCACTTTGCACTGTGTGGGCAGTGCATTGTTGTCAGCCAACAATGTACTGTTGGTAGTGAGCACTTGCATAGTCCTTAGCTTGCTGCATGTGTAAAATGGCTGCGTTTAAAAGGGGAAATAATCCCATCGTGTTTACAGTGCGCTAGAACATAGAGACTAATTGCTTTGCTTGTTAAAGCTTGTTGTGCCAGCCACATTTTTGTAGATGATGTGTCATACAGTTTTGCTTTCCAGTGCCATGTACAGTAGAAACAAGTCATTGTTTTCCCATCCACAGTCAGGACAATATGCTGAAAACAGCAAGCCTGTGTTTAGTCCATGAAAATTGGAGATTATCTTTGTTCTTTTTCACAAAGCATGTTAATTCTTTGAATTGTAACGTGCTCGTTTTGGCATTTATTTTGTGAAAACAACTCTCCAAATTTCTGCAAGAGAAATTTTGTTGGCTGTAATTTTCTACAACATTGAGTGATCCATCCTACATTAAACTACACTTATGACTCCAGGACTACTAAACCAAAATCTGGATTTCACTTCCATATTGCTGTCACTTTAAATGACCACAGTGTTAGGGGTCACTCCAAGAACCAAGCAGGGATTTTCAACCATCGAGATGGTGCAAAAGAATCTCATTATATTATGACACATATAAAATGCTCCCATGTTTTGTGAGGTTCTTCAGGTAAACATGTATTTGTTGTAAAGCTCATTTGAAAAGCACTGGGTGTTAAAATACATGCATGGAAATACATTCTGTAGTTATTTTGTATGAGATGCAATGTACTTGCACCATAGCCTGGATGAAGTCACAGTCACAGCTGCACTGAATTCTCCACCCTACACACCATGTGTAATGTAAAAGAAGAAAGAACATGAAAAGAACCATGAAAAACACGAAAAAACGGTGAGTTGGGTTTTTTTAAAAACAATTTATTTTTTCTTCATTTCTCAATTTATTTTTTTCCTAAGCAAACATAATCAGTGGCAGTCAAGCTGTAGCCAGGTATTTGTCTGTAGGTTTTTATTTGTTTCCTTTCTGTCATGTTGTAGAAAACTCTTCTATGTCTAGAAAGAGTACCAAGCTCATAAAATTAAAAAAAAAAAAAAAGGCAAGAGAATCTCCAAACAAAAAACCTAAATAAAACCCCTCAAACAAACAATATTTACAAACTGTTTCTCTAAGAAGCAATTTTAGTGGTTTGGCAGTGATTGGAGCAGGGAACTGGACATCAAGGTGCAATGAAATTGTGTCACATTCCATACTGGGAACTGTTCAAACCAAGGAGTCCTTTCTTGCCCTTCTGTTCTGGAGATAACAATAATTCCCCTTTTGTCAGCATCTTCGGATTTCTTGGCTCACAGGAGCAGCTCTGTAAGGGGAGAGTGGCTGGGGGCTGCAGCAGGGGCTGTGCAATCTGGTGTGAAACACTGGAAATCTTCTAATGGGATGGGCTCTTCATTTTCTTGCAGATGTGCAGTGTGATGTGATTTACCAGCACAGATCATCCTCAGGGATACTGCTCTTCCCGTTCTCTTAAACTCAACATCTTTGTTTTTCATCCAATGTTTGGCATTCCCTTGTAAAATTAAATTTCTCGTTTAATTTCGTGATTTCTTGTGATCTCTTTTACTTCATCCACGTGCCTTGTACATACTTCTATGAGAAAAGTTGTGGAAATAATGTTAATGAAAATAAAATGTTTCATTTGTTCACTGGTGTTCTTTGATTTAATAAAATCATACAGAAATGTAAAGCCCCCTGAAACCCTGTTCTTCATCAGGCTGTGTTATGTATTCTGTCATGTATTTATTTTAAATTTTGTTTATACCACTGGAACGTGAGTGCTACTATCAAAGCTTGTTGTATTTATTTCATGGAAAATGTACTTTATTAACAAATTTACCCTTTGATAATGATAACATTTGGTGTCATTAACAAGTTTAATAAGTCTTCTCACAGGAGAGTTTGATCAATTTTACATAAGTTTTTGAAAACAGTGACTTATGTAAAATTGATCCTAAAAGGCTTTTGAGTGAAGAATAAAATTTTATAGCTGTTAAAGATAAAAAGAGATAATTTAACAAATGAAATAATTTAAAAAGTGATTCAATGTGCAGCTACTGTCACTTCACCAAAGATTTCTATGTGCAGTGATTTACTGGGTATTTTCTTCTTTGTGTCTCTTGACCCCATTAAATGGTCAGGAGCGTTCTTGTCTCTGAAATGTTGGAAATTGGAGCTGGTATCTGTAAACGTGTGCCCGTTTTGCAGGTAAGGAAGATGGTAAATTCTGTAAGAAGGTGACTGTGAGGATGACCATCCGCAAGAACGACTGCAGGAGCAGCACGCCAGTGAGTAAACACAGCAGTGCCCACTTTCCTCCCACACAGGAGGAAAAACAGGAGATAGGAAAAAGAAGGGGGGAAAAAGGGAACTCAGCTTCCACAAGGCCACTGTCCCCAGCCTCCCACGGAGGTTTCTGTGTTTCACAGAGCTCTTTAATGCTTCCCTGCATTCTGGGCACCCCTCAGTAATGAACAAAGAGCCTGACACTGCTTTTCGTGTGCTTTTAGGTGCATGTCCATGCAGTCTCATTTCACCCTATACTGCAATTATTCTGTGCAAATTAACGATTACAGCTGAACCGTGCCCTGCTGTTCTGCAGCTAAAATTGCTGCAGATGTGTGTCATTTTTCATCTGCCCAGGCACGGTGTTTAAACGCCAGCTTCGTGAAGAAAGGAATCCTGCTCCTGAAAGCTTTTTTTAGGCAGCAGGGTGAGCATTCCTGTGAAATGTGAAGGAAGAATGAGGCAGTCTCTGTGTGTCTGTGAAAGGATTTAGTGCTGGAGGACAGCGAGCGTGTCCTGCTGAGCAGTGGGGCTGAGAGCAGCAGCGAGGCTGCAGACAGACGTCTCGTGTGAGATGGGCAAGAGCCTGGAAAAGCTGTCATAAAAGAGAGCAGGGAAACAGCTGTGGCCTCTAAAATGACTCCAAGAGTACATTTAGCACAGTAAGCTGTTGAGCAGCCAGGAAATTTATTCTCAGTGTTTCACTGAACAGAAACACAAATCCTGACTATTAAATTTGAAAGAAAAAAAAAAATTATCAGTTTCTTAAGCCTGTTTTTCTAACAGTCTACATTACACATTTGTTCTCATTAGTAGTAATTCCCCTCAGCTTCCCAAAGGATTGGTTCTTTTATTCCTCCTTGCTGATACCCTGCAGAGCTGCTGCACTGGGTGTCACTGCAATGAATCCTGCAGGGAGCTGTGGACACAGCATTTGGTGCTGTGTTCAAGCCAAGGTTTAAAATTCGAAACTGAAATTGCTTCTTTGTGTCTGTTAAAATAAAGCAAATCTGCCACTGAAATGGATAGAAAAGTCATCAGTAATATTAAAATTGAGATCTGTCAGGGCAGTGCTCTTCAGAGGTGATTTCCAGACGTAGAGGGATTTCCTGAGGGTAGAGGAAATCCATCCTCCTTTCTCACTGCTTTGCTGTTGGATTTGGGTGCCTGGTGTCTGCAGAGCCCCTGGCGGTGCTGCCAGGTGTTCATTCTTGGCCGTGTGTTGGCAGGTGAACATCGTGTCGTGCGATGGGAAGTGCCCGTCCGCCAGCATTTACAACTACAACATCAACAGCTACGCCCGCTTCTGCAAGTGCTGCAGGGAGCTGGGGCTGCACAGGAGGGCTGTGCAGCTCTACTGCACCAGCAATTCCACCTGGGTCACCTACTCCATCCAGGAGCCCACCGACTGCTCTTGCCAATGGTCTTAAAACCACAAAAAAAAAAAAAAAAAAAAAAAAAAAAAAAAAAAAGAAAACAGCAAGCCTAATAGCATAATTTTATAGTATTTCATCTATTAAAAATGTAATAGCCAGTCCTCTGAATCTCACCAGTTTGCTGCAAAAGACCACGAATACAAACACAAATTTCTGTGTACTCTCCTAAATATCTGAAAAGTGGCTTTGCATCGTTGGTATTGTGATTTCTTTCCATTTGCATTCACAGGGATTGTTTTAAGGGTTCTTGTGATACGTGCCAACATAAAAGGTGATTTGCATTAGTGACATCTGAAGAGAGAACACCATCTGTTTTATTCTTTGTCAAGCCCCATTTGACATCATTGCCCAGCTTACCTGGCAGCAGGTCACTTTTTCAAAGATTTTAATTATTCAAGTATGTTTAGTATGTATTAAGAAAAATTCTTTGGACAATATGAGAAGAAATTTTCAGTTTAAATCATATTCCTGTTGCTAAGTAGAGCATGTATAAGAAATTCAATTTAGGATTAATTTTTTTTTTTTTTTAGTCAGGGAAACATTATTCATACTGATAACTGTGTGGAATATTCCCTGGGAATTATTTCAGTTTTTCTAGTGTATTTTATATTGTTGTGAAAAGCATCATGGCAAGCATGTATTGATAGAACAGCTCTGCTGTCCTTAGGCTGTCTAGATTAGCCATTAGTCACTTTATCTTTCTGCCAAACAATATGACATAAACTGAAAATACACAGATTTAAAAAACAAAAACCCTTTTATATTCCTTTGTATAGACATAACTTAAATGAAAACTTTCATCTTATGAAATGATCCATACTTAAATTGTCTCTTTAGGAGAATGAATGCTGTTTAACACTTATTTTAAAGATGTGAAAGTTCATTAGGAAAAAGAAAATGAGGATATCTGCCTCAAAGAAAAACAAAATTGAAAATCTTTGTCACGTGTATAGTAGATGCAACCTCTTATGGTAAGTGCTTGAAATCCAAAATGTACAATTGTAAGGTTTGAAATTTCAAAAGAATTCTTTTCATGAACTTGAAAAATTAATTTTTTTAAAATGAGCTAATTATTTTCTTCTCTAAGCTAATGTTACTCTTCTGTTCTTCTTTAATGATTCTGACTGAGATTAAGCAAAAATCCAGTAGCTTTTATTTTGTAGATTAAAGTCATAGATAGCATGCAGTGATACACTTGAGATCTATAAGAATAAATAGATCTCAGTTATCCCTTTTGGAAGCTATGTGTCTGAAGTAAATCCAAAGAAAAATGTGTTGTTAAAATCAATCATGTGAACATTTTTGATATTAATTTTGTATACTGTACATTTCATTCTTACAATACCTAATAAACAACAGGAAGTCTTATTTTGTTATAATTAATTTTGCTATGTGATGAAACACTATATTTACTAGTATTTTCCTTCAGTGCTGCACATGGGTAATTTTAGGGTTTGCTGATATCACAAATAGTACATCAAGGAAGAAGACTTGCTAATGGATTTTTAAAAATGGAAGTATTTTTCTGATTTCATCACAGTTCACTTTCAGCCTCAGAAATGCAAAATTCATCTATGTGATTTTATTCAAAACAAAAATTGGAAACCACTTGTTCATCAAATTGTAACAGCCCAACTCTGACACTGTCAGACTGTTTGTACTGGAAAAACGGGGGAAAAGGTGAATTTCTGCACGTTCCTTTCCCGATTTTTTTTCTAAATCAGCTTTCAGTTTGACTGCAATGTGTAGACTGTGTTGTGAGTAATTGTTGTGTAGTGATGAGCATCCTTCAGTACCTAGGGCCAAACTCGCTGTTTGTGCAGTCCCTGCTCATTTTGCAGATCATGTTCCTTTATAAAAACTGTGTCCTAAAGAGCAGAAAGGGACAAGATTTGGGACAAATCCATCCTTTGGAAATCCAGGGGAAAAAAATGCTCTTTATAAGGCATTGAGCAGAGTTAAATCCTTAGCACCACGTGCTTAAAATTCACGTTTTGGCGTTTTCAAAGGAGAAGTTTCACTTAGTTTAGCAGCTGGCAGACGCCACCCCAGAGGGCTGGAATTAATCAGAGAAGCTCTCCCCTGAGATGGCCTTGGGTGTGAAGTGCCAGGGACACAACCAGAGCAGGAATGAGTCCAGCCAACATTTTTCCCTCTGCTGCATCTTGTCCCTCCTCTTGCCACTGGAGCAGAGCTCGTGGTTTTAGCAGCTCAAGGCAGAAACTCTGAGGAGCAGCTGAGCCCCAAACTTTCAGCTCCTGGTGGAAAAGGTGGTGCAGGATGGAGAGCAGAGAGGTGACAGTGGTGGCCACAATCAAACACTGCTGCTCCTTCACTAAAATAATAAACATCGTGCTGAACCCCTACTCCTGCTTCTAAAACTGAGTGCTCGTGCTGGGAAGATTTAATCCATTATTCCTGCCTGTGTGCTGAACCCCTCCACGTGTCCTCAGCCCATCTGTGTCTGTCCAAAGGCTCTCACCTTGGATTTACCTTGCACTGCATTTGCACAGAGCAGATCTGCTGGAAGGAGATGTGCCCTGTTTGTGCCATGTCAGTGCCTCATTTGTGCCCTGTCTGTGCCCTGTTTGTGTCCTTCTTGTGTCCTGTTTGTGCCCTGTCTGTGCCCTGTTTGTGCCCTACCTGTTCCCTATCTGTGCCCTATTTTTGCCCTATTTGTGCCCTGTTTTTGCTTCCACATCTTTGGGAACCACAGGGACCTCAACGTAGGTTTTATCTGCCCCTTCCATGCTGGAGGTGCTTGGGCTGTGACAATGACCGAGTTCTAAACGGTTTTATTTTCTTTTTATCGAGTCCTTTGCTTGAAAGTGACCTGCTGGAAAATGAGGTTTCTTAACATTTTTCTTTAGAAGTCTCAGACCTTTTATTCCACCCCAATAACCCTGTTCTCCTCACTGGTGTTTGCATGCATGGAGTTTCTTCACAAAACTGATTCCTAATGTTGGGAGGGAAACATCACAGGCTTCTGTTTCATTAAATGTAGGAATTAAAATCTTTCTAATGCTAGGTGGTTTTCCATCTTTGAATAAAATTTTTTTGTATTTGAGTGTGGAAACATTGGTTGGTTGTTATAGTGCTGATTGCCCATTTTCATCTCATTTAAAAAACATTTTATTTCATTACCTTGAGCAAGCTTACCCAGCCTTGATTCACGGGAAAATATGAGATTTGGCAGCTGGAGTCTTGAATATTATGGATATTGGCCCTTGAGAGAGGCCTTTAAGAAGAAATATAATGATATTAATTGTGTTTTCTAAATGCTCACTCTCTGGGGTTATTAGTACATGATCTGGACTCAGGATAATTGCCTCTTGAGTAATGCTCCCTCTAATTAGTGACAGAGCTGCCTGGTGGTTTGGTAAATTAATCTGAGATAGTGGCATTTGCTGGGCTGCAGTTTAATGTGAACTATTAGTCACAAGTTACACCCCCTCAAACAGCTCCCAAGTATGCAGCCCGTGAAGTCAGACCAAAATCATTCCAAAAATGTTGCCCTCACTTTTACTTCTGCCCACACCACCACCTCTCTCCCCCATACAAGTGGCTATGAATAATTAAAAGGAGGTAACAGCTGCTATGCAGATGGTGATTTTTTGGAAAAATCCCCTCTTAGTGTGATGAGGGCATCCAATCTCTTTGGAAATAATACCTGACAGACTGCTGTCCCCTCAGATCTGCTCTCTGCATGGGCTTCTGACCAAGGCTTTGATCACATCACTTCTCATCAGCTGTTCCTAACACAGAAATCTGAATTAACTCAGGTGTCCAGGCTTCATCCATCACCAAAGAGCTGCATCCAGAGAGTGACACAGCCCAGCCTGAAATAAGTGTTCAAGACTGATATGGTGATTTATCCTCCAGATGTGCCATCTTCCCTTTTCCCTGTGGAGAGAACCTAGATGGTAAAACATGGTTAGGTAATTCACTTTTGGGCTATTAGAATTAGTTGGAATTAAATTCACTTTTAACAGTTCAAGATATCTCAACAAGCTGAAAAATCAGCTATGCTGGCAGTGATTATGGCCCATCTTACCTGACCACCTCACAGGAGGTGATTAAAGGTAATATTTGATTGTATGAAGCTGAGCTGAGTGCCATTTGTCTTGTTTGGTGTTTCCTGTGTGTTTCCAGGTACATTTATTTTGTGTCACAGCTATAAAATTATCCCTGTGTTTCTAGAGCTGAAGACAGACATGGTCATCAGGCAAACCTTCAAGATGGGAAAGCACAGCTGAATTTGCAAAGATGTCAAATGTTTATTTCCGTGACAGTGTCTTCTATTAGCTGGAAAAGATCGACAAGGTGAGTGAATTTTAACATATTTCTGTTTTATAGACCTTTCATTGTGGAGATGTTGCCTTGAGATCTGCAAGTGATTTGTGGTCTTGCTTCCTAAGCTTTTGGTTTCCTGGATATTTAAAGTAATGTGATTCTGTAGAAAATAGTGAAACCCCTCTAGGAAATATAAACAAATGCTTATTGTATCTATTTGGGACAACTTTGAATGGAAAAAAAAAAACAAAACAAACCAAAAAGCTCATTTGGGTAAAATTCCTAAAATTTTAAAAATGGTTTTCTGGCAACTTCCTTCTTTTCAAATATTTAGTTGAAATACCAATATCTTAGATCATGACTCTCATCCTTTTCATTTCTGCTCTGGAAGAGGAGTAGAAAGGAGATGAGGGCTCATGTTTTTAATGAAAACATTTAGAAGCTTTTCTCTCCAGATTGGACTGGCAAGCCTAATTATCATGAAGTTTTTACATAGGGAAGGTGGGAGTCAGTTCCTCAGGGAGCCTCTCAGGATTTCCAGCATTAGAGGTGGGAAATAAAGTCCCTCCCTCGATAATGAAGGCAAAGTGACAAATTCTGTGCTTGCTGATGGCAGTGGGCTGGGGTGGGGTTACTGCAGGTGACACAAGTTCTTCTTCATGGGTCTAAAGGCTAAAGGAGGAGGGTGCTGCCTTCAGGTA